CCTGCCCCCCCCCTGCCAGTCCCTGGGTCAGCTGACTCTATAATTAGAGGTTACCCCACCTGCAAGTGTCTCAGCAGACTACCTGACCTCTTAAAGTGGCAGGGACACCAAATCCCCCGCCCACTACCTGACCTCTTAAAGTGGCAGGCACACCAAGTGTCCTGCCACACACCTCTGATTGGCCAAGGGGCCCCAGCAGTCTTGCCCCTCCCCACAGATTGCCAGATGGCCCAAAATTGCATCTTAATTACCCTAATAAAGCCCGAAGAAGCCATTCATTCACATATTATTACATGTGGATTAATGGTTTCCCCAGGCTTAAACAGGGTAATTAAACTGCGGTTTTGGGCCACCCCCAAGGGTGGATGCTGCCAAGGGGCTGCACCAGGGTCCTGGACTGGCTCTGGCAGGCAGCTGTGGGGCTGCACTGGGGTCAGTAGAGCCCTGCACAACAAGCTAGGCCAGGGCTCTGTGGACCACAGTGCAGTCTCCTGGCTGCCTCCCACAGCTGACCTGGGACCCTGGTGCAGCTGTTTGTGCAGCATCCTCACCTCTTCCTGTGAGCAGCTGTGCCCTTCCTCCCCTCCCTGCTACCTCCACCCTTGCCCCTCCACCCTCATGCTCCAAGACTGTGGGGCTTCCCACCCTTTTCTCTGCTTATTGGTAAGTTTGGGGCAGGGGGGATGGCAATGAGGCAACCAAAATTGCAGAGCCCACTATGTTTTGTGGAGCCTACTCAATTTCACAGCTTCCACAAAAATCACACAATTTGGTAGGTCCCTATTTATAGACCACAGTAATACCTCTCTCATCCTTATTTTTGTAGGCTAAAACAGCAAAGGTCTTTTAGTCTCCACTCAGAAACAAGCTCAATGTTCTCTACTGACCATGCTAGAAGACTTTTCTGAATGCAGTTGAGTGAGTGTTCATCTTTCCTGCCCACAGGTAATTGGTATTTAACACAGTATTTCACATGAATTGCCCTGTCTTACACCACTAATGCTTCCTTATCTCTAGCAGAGGGAAACAGTTTCTGAGCAATTTTAGCATCTTGCTACAGCTCTAGAGATGTGAGTTTGAGATTCACCAAAGACTGTCCCCAGCTGTAAATGGGTACCTGGCTACTCAGGCTGGAGGGTGCCCAGATGTGATTCCCAAGTCTTTAGTTATTTTTTTCCAATCACAATTTGCTCAGAAGCCTAGCATATAATTAAGGTTGAGCCAATGGACCAGTAGTTCCAAAATAATTCTCTTCTCTTAACAATAGGTACCAGCCAAAATAACTTTCTTCTCTTAACAGTTACCATATTTGCCATACTACAGTTGCTGTATTACTTCAACTGTAAAGATATATTAAAAATACCTGGTACTGGACATGCAATTTCATGTGGCAGTTCATGTGCCAACTTCATGTGGCAGTTCTTTAGAGCATCTTTCAATGTTACTATTATTAGGAGTGCTTGAGATTTGCTGTCACCCTAATTTTTGTGTTATTTCCAACAGTGCTAAATGAGTTTAAAACATAACCAGATCAGAATATTAACAGATCTCGTTGCTAATGTGACTTGTTAACTGAATGAGAATCAGACAAGGCATATTCTAGTTTATAGGAAATAAGCTTCTCGTAGATATTTTCTCTTATACTTTACCTGGATTTTCTGGTCAGACAGCTCACTTAGCAAAGCCCAGCCCTAACCTAGGACTCATGTCTCTGCTGTTGATACTGTGCTATCCTCTTAATTAATGATGCATCACTGGCATGATACGAAAGATAATAAACCTGTCTTACATTTTTGGTTTCAACAGCACTGCATCAGCACTTCATTGCATTAAGAGACTTTTTCCTTTAAATAAGAAAGTGGAAGTTTATCTTCATTGCTGCCATTGTAATTTCACATCATGCTTGCCCTCAAAGAACAAGACAGGGAAATTGAGCATCAAGTAAAATGAAAGACAGGGAGTGTGGCAAGTGACCTGTGTCAAATTAGATTAGTGCAATAAGTCACTCATCCTCAAAACAGCCGTGGGACCTCCAAATCAGACTGTGACATTGCTACACAACTTAAAGAGTACAACAGAAAGCATGCGATGAAAGGGATAGCAGTTTGTAGTTATAGTTACTTGACAGCTATAATTCACCTGTAATCATGCTACTAACAAAGCAAACTCTAAACCAGTGGTTCTCAAACTTTTCTTTTCATAGACCACTTGAAAAGTGCTGAGGCTATCAGCGGATGACTTAATCTCCGTCGTCAGAAAAAATAAATCAAGTGCAGGGCCAAGTACAGATATTCTCAATTGTTCCACAACCTTTCTGCAGACCACCCGGATGGAGCTCACGGACCAGCGGTGGTCCACAGACCACAGGTTGAGAACCTCTGCTCTAGACCAAGCTCAAATAATTTTATCTAACTGCTCTGATTAATGAAATTTCTAGTGCAAATGCAGCAATACACATTGTGAATGTGCTTGTAAAAGCCAGCATCTTTTCTTGAGCTACTACCACAGTGTATTGTTTAGAGCAAGAGAATACGCCCTGAGATTCATTAATCCTAATCCTACACTGACTTTTTGTAGTACTTCATGTCACAACCCAAGGGTGTGATTTTTGTTTGTGTGTGCTTTGGCACTGCTAAATTATTCCCCGCCACTCGTAGCTTTCTTTGCAGGGTGCATTTCTTAGCTGCAGAAAGGAAATGCGCGTTGCAAGGAGTTCCCGCCATTTGTATTCAGATTCGTGCCCCACTATTGGCCAGTTCTAAATTATTCCCACGTGGCGGCTAGCGATTGGCTTGCTAGCTGTATAAGAGGCTTGAGTGGTTTCCGCCCAAGTTGGAGGACTCCACGACTATCAGTGAAGATCTCTAAGCGCTGCGGAGCCTATCGGACCCAGCGTGTATCTCAAGAAGGCTATGGGGGTCTGATCAACCTCTCGCCTCTCCCCGTCGCCGCCTGATCCCTCGACGTACCCTTCCCTGCGCGCTTGTTCCACGGAGCCTAGCAAACTTCGTGTGAGTGAATCCAGAGCTCTACCCGGGGTTCAAGTCCTGCAGTTCTTTTCTTCCCGTCGCCGAAACCCCATTGTGACGTACTCTCGAGGTTTTTGTTCATCTCCCGTCGCCGAAACCCCACTGCGACGTACCCTTATGTTCTGCAGGTTCGAGTTTTTTTTGTTTTGTTTTGTAACCACTACTCAAGCAAGTTTTCCTGCCTGCACCGCGACCATCTTTGGTGTAAGTAAAGTAATCTTAAATCAACCACTAAGCGTCCGTGCCTAATTCTAGCGTGCCGCCTGTCTTCCCCGACCCGGCGTGTCCGGGCTGCTGGCCGCAGCCCGCCGCACGAAAAACCCCCGAGGGCCTCGGACCGCTCCCGGCCCGCACACTTCATAGTGAGTCACCTTACTTCTGCTCCTCAGCTCCTCCACCTGTAAAGAAGAGGTAACAACCAACTCGGTACCTTTCAGGATTTGCACCACGATCCTCACATAGGTCCGATGTATACAGACTGCATTATCACTTAGCCTCCTCTAATAAGAGAGATGATCAAGATCTTTTGAGTCAATTATGAACAACATCTTTGGGAATAGGAAGTATGAAGGTATCACACACACAGGATAATTGAAGTCTTGTTACATTTCATCCCAAATTTCCATTCCAGTCTAAACTGTGCTATCACAGGTTGAATGCTGAACCTACAATATGGTTGAACCACTGAGCTTTCTTCTTTTGAAAATGGAAATTCAAAGCCACCTAAGTCGGGGGGGGAGGGGAGGGGGCACGTGCCCCCCCAGGGACCAGTCAGCAACTGGGGGGGGAGTCCCCCCCCCCCCCCCGTGGCCAATCTCCCTGTGGGCCCCCCTCCCCATCGCCTAAGCGGGGAGCGCGGCCGGTCAGGGGGTGCACATGCACCCCCGACGCGTCGCCACTAGCCCTAGCGGAAAGCGACAGAGACAACACCTGTGAGGAGACAGCTTTCGCCACACTTCATCCTTTCCACGACGTGCTACTTCAACGCAAACGTTTGCACGAGGGCATGCACACGTGACCACGCAAGATGCTCCGCGCAAATTAACTTAATTGCCACCACGGATGGCTTACAAACACCGCGTCACGGCAACCACCCTCACGAGCGCCTCTAATCCCTTGGCGCAGGGGTGGGCAACCTCCAGCACGGGCGGCACAGGACGGCCGAGCGGCGCGGGGACTTAACAACTGTCAAAAGGAGAGTAACTTGGCGCCAGCTCCCACGCAAATGACTCCCCAAATTGATGGTGCCCCTCAAACGAGGAGGCGAGGCCAGGGGGGACCCTCAAAAGCCGAGGGAGCAGGATGGGCCCCAGCGAGGCCACCTCAGGGCCCCACATCCCAGGGGGCTTCTCCCCAGAGCTGGGACAGGCCTGAGACCCCCCCCAGCTGGGGGCCCCTCAGCCAGGGGCTGCCCCAGCCTCGCCCCTGACACCGTGTCCAGGCCCCGGGCGCCTCCCCCCGGCGGGCAGGCGATGCCGTCCACGCTCAGTATCATCCCCCACCCCACAAAGCCCCCGCGCCGCCACCGTCGCTCACCCTGCTCCGCCATCTTCTCCCTCCCCCGCCTCAACCCACTGCAGCTGACTCGGGGCGGAGGGACTTCCGGCCGGCCAGAGAGGGAGGGGGAGTCGGGGCGGAGGGACTTCCGGCCGGCTGCCGGGGAAGAGGGAGGGAGGGGCGGAGGGACTTCCGTCCGGCAGAGGGGAGCTGCGGAGGTCGGGGCAGCTGCGCTTCCGCTGCAGTCGAGTGGTGCACGTGGGAGGGGCGGATTGGAAGGGGGACGGGGGGAGCAGCTGCCTCGGGGGAGTGGTGCACAGGGCAGTTTTTTTGGGTAGATCTGAGGTTTTTGAAAATGCAAGGAAGGAGGGATGCTTCTGTTCCCCCCGCTAGAGGGTGAAGCCTTGTTCACACGGTGCTTCTCCTGCAGGGCCTCCCAGGGGTGCGAGGAAGGGGTGCAGGGCATTAGTACATGTAGTGCAGCCGGGTGGGAGAAGGAATCTGGACCCTGACAACGAGCCAGAAATAAAGTCAGGTCTCCCCTTTGGTGCCTGCTGCAGCCAAAGTTTAACCCCCCCCTCCCCTCCTGCCTGGCAACAGTGTTTGTGGTGGGGGGCGCTGAGGAGTCTCCTGACATCATGGCTCATTGAATTTGAGGTCTTCATCCTCAGGGGTTAAGGACCCTCTCTCTTTTGAACCATCTTTGAACACACCCAGCAAGCTAGGTTTTTGGTTGGCCTAAGGACATCGGCAGGCAAGGGTCTTTGAGTCTCTTTCTATATGCACATTACCCAAAGACCCTTGCCTGCCCTGGTCAAGCCAGCCTTTCCTCTGCCGCTCTGCCCTGTTTTTGCTGCTCCTGGTAACGAAGCTCCTATTTCATAGCCCTGCGGGCTATTTTCAATTCCTTGCATTTGTTTCTGCTCTAATCTGAAACTGAATCATACAGCCCTAGATTCCCAGTGTATTGGAAAAGCTAGTTTCTTTTTTAACTTGAGAAAAACGTGTTTTGTTTAACAGGTGACGATGCACCTCGCCCTGGGCACCCCGCCTTTTCAAAGTCTAGATCTGGCTGTGAACGCAGCACGCGCTTTTTTTCAGGTACATAAAAACTAGAAGCTTTACAAGAGGCCTAGAGCTATATTATTCAGCTGAAGATCAAAGCAAAAACAAATATATGCATATTGGGACGCGTATGAATTCGCTGTGTTGTATGTCGTGTACAGAGCCAATCTTAGGCGTGTGCAGGGGCCAGGGCATATCAGCCTGTGCGGGGGGACATGGCAGTGGAGGGGTTGGCGAATGGTGGGGAGAGGGAGTTGGGAGCGGCTGGAGCAGGGGTGGGGGGTGGCCGGAGCAGCGTGATGGTGCCCTCAGCGCATGCCAATGGCACTATCTGCAGGGCCCCCCAAAGTATGGGGTCCGGGGCGGTAGTCCTGATTTGCAACCCCCCCCCCCCCCAAAGGGACGGCTCTGATCATGTATAAACATCACAACAAACTAGGCAAAAAAGAAAGAGATCGAGTGTGTTTCATTAGTCCTGTAGTCACTAGAAATATATGTACAGATCTCTTTCAGCTTCCTAAAACAAAATCTAGTCTTGAACATCATGACAGCGCAACCAATACTTCACTGAAACGTATTTTCATGCCTAAGTTAATGTTTTTAGCTAAAGACAGTCAGCAGGCCTCTGAAATAGGAACCACGTTACCAGGAGCAGCTAGTAGGCAGTGGAATTGCAAAAGAAAGATAGTTCAATTATTTGATCATAAGGGCCATTACAAAGGAAAGGAAGTTGTTTAACACCTGTGGTATGAAAAGTTTAGAAGGAATCGGGTAGATTATAATCAGGCATGAAAATAAGTGATGCCTTCACTGCTGCCTGAATAGAGATGCTGCTGCCACTGCCAGGCAGGTGACTTTAAACTTTGGGTAGACCAGGAATTAAAGGAGAGTGGGGAGTGACTGTGCCATTGCGCCTCCCCGCAATCTGCTCCTGGATCCTTTCAAGGGTGCTGTGGGGTGCCATGCAACGTTAGCACCGTTAGGTGTGCAGATGTGATTCACACGATAAACCCAGAGGTTTCAAATAGGTTATCCATAGTGTTGAAAAGATTCTGACTTGCTGTGGGCTTTCTGAGTTCTTTGCCACAAAACAATTATTCCGTAGTCAAAAACTTGGGTAAAAAGTAAGAGCTGGTGTTTTCCGAGGGCTGCCTAGAGCAGAATGAGAGATACCTTGAGTCTAAAAAGTTTGAGAACTACCGGAATGAGGAAACCACCATGAAGTAATAACACGAGTGACAAGAGAAATGATTATGTAAAGAATGAATAACACTAAAACATAAAGCAGCAAAGAAATGATCCTGAAGAACTGCTGTAATAAAAGTGCAAATAAATCATAACATAAGCACTAAATGCCCTGATCATGTGAATAGCTAAACACACACACACACGTGCACACACACAAGCTCTTTACATCCACTGCAGCACCAGTGATTTCTCTTAAACCCAGTTGCATTGACTCGAATGAGATTAGATGCAAGAGAGAGGCCAGTGTTTTTGATCAGTGGTTTTCAAATTGTGTTCTACCTGGGGTTCCAGGAGGAGGTCTTGGGGGCTCCATGGAAAAAAATTGGTAACAGCAGACAAGTTTGTAAAATATACTTATTGTTAATTATTTTTTGCAATTTTGCAATTTGACTCTTGTGTTTCACTTACATGACTGCCTTGTGCCTCCTGAGGCTGGCGGGGCACGGTGATCGCCCACAGGTGGCGGTGTCAGCGGCGGTGGCGAGTGGGGACCTCCTGCAGGCAGCCACAGTGATGTCAGCAGCGAGGGCAGGCTGAATGGGGACCCTGGCAGGTGGCCGCGGCAGTGAGGTGGGAGGTTGGCTATCGGTGACCAGACGCTGTCGGCAGCGTCGGCAGTGGGGGCTGGATGGTGAGTGGCTACCCCGCAGATGCCATCAGCAGCAGCCAATCTCAGGGGGGTGCACGTGTACCCTCATGCACCTTCTACGCACTGCCAATGGTGACTTATTGATAAAAAAAACATTAACTCAGTCTTCCTAACCCTTTCTGCTGAGACGATCCATGCCATATGTTTTATTCATAGGACAATAATACGATATGAGATTTGCCCGCCTTGTTTTGATGGACAGTTTACAAACAGAGGTACATGATCGAAATCTGGCAGCGATGTAGGCCTGGTGTTCCAATGTGATTATTCTGTCTCTGCATTGTCGTATTTCAATCGGTCAGTTGACAAGTGCCTTAATGTTAGAGCAGTGCTGAACTGTCTCTTAATATTTTATATTTTTGATTTACCAAGAAAAAGTATGGATTGGTGACTGAAAACAGGTAACGTTAAGAAAAGTAGTCAGGAAAAATGCCAGATTTCAATACAACAGGAAGTAATTACCAGTGCTTCTATTGTTATATGTGCCGGCATATCAAATCAGTCACAAGCTCTTTATCCAGTGAGCAATGAATCAAAAACCAAAACATAAGTACCATGCAAGCTACATTAACTATGGTTTTACTTGGACTGGTGATAAAAACAAGACAGATGGACAGTGTGTTGAGTGTGGACAAGTTTTGCCCGACAGCAGCCTGAATCCAGCAAAGTTACAAAAGCTTCTGGAGGCAAAACACCCACAAGTAAAAGACATGCATGGTGATTATTTTAAAAGGAAATGTAACAATTTTATTTAAAAAATCACTACCTTATGTTATTTTGTTGTTAAGACAACAGAAATGCTCTTGAAGGATTCATAAATTTATAGATGTTAGGGGCTGGAAGGGACCTCACGAGATCATCAGGTCCAGCCCCCTGCACTAGGGCAGGGAAGACAACTGGGGTCAGATGACCCCAGCAAGGTGTGCGTCCACACGTTTTTTAAAGATCTCCAGGGTAGGTGACTGTACCACCTCTGGAGGGAGTTTGTTCCTGACCCATGGCACTCTGGTCGTAAAGAACTTTTACTTATCTCCAATCTGAAGCAATCCTCAATCAGTTCGTGTTCATTGTTTCTTGGCTTCCTTTGGGGTGCCTTGGTGAACAGATGCTTCCCCAGACCCTGATGTATGCCCCTTATATACTTACAGGCTGCCACCACGTCCTCTCTAAGTCGTCTTTTCTCCAGGCTGAGCAGTCCCATGTCTTTCAGCTTCTCTTCATATGACCTGCTCTCCAGACCTCTAATCATGCGCGTGGCCCTCCTTTGGACTCTTTCAAGCTTCTCCACATCCTTCCTGAAGTGCGGCACCCAAAATTGGATGCAGAACTTCAGCTGCCGTTTCACCAAAGCTGAGTAAAGCGGGAGGATGACATCCTTAGTCTTGTTTCAGATGCATCAGTAGATGCACACCCGTGTTTGATTAGCTCTGCCAGCTATGGCATCGCATTGGTGGCTCATGTTCATTCTGTGGTCTGTTATGACCCCCAGATCTCTTTCAGTTGTGGTGCTGGCAAGCATAGTACTGTCAAGCCTGTAAGTGAGTTTTTTAATTGCTAAGGTGGATGACGCGCATATGATTGCTGAAAATTTAGGGAAGCCATGAACAAAAGGAATTTTAACTTGCACAATGGGTGAAAAAATTAAGAAAGCTCATTGCTATTATTCCTCTTGCAGACCATACAGTTTCTCACCACATCAAAGATCTTTCTGATCACTGGCAAGCAGAGGTAGTTGTATAAAAAATAGTCCTGTTGGGTTTTTTATTCAACTAGATGAATCTACCAAAGAAGAAGGATTGGCTATCTTGCTCATAATCGTGTGCTATACTTTTTAATCTTCTACATGCGGACCTGCTGTTGTGCTGCCTGCTTAAAACAAGTACAAAAGGCAAGGCTATATTCAATATCCTTAATTGTTTTATGCAAAAGAATATGATTAACTGGGAACTTTGTACAGATGTTTGTATCAACAGTGCAAAAGTCATGATGGAAAAAGTCAAGGGTGTGGTAGGGGGGTAGCGTGCATTAAAAATGTTGCCTCTCATGAAAAGCAGACATTGTAGTCTACATCGACATGCTCTTGCTAGAAAGGGTATGCCAAGAGAGCTTAAAATTGTGCTTGATGGGACAGTGAAAAATAAAGCCAGGCCTCTTCACTCCTGGGTATTTTCTGTTTTGTGTCATGGGCAGTGCTCACATGAGTCTTTTGCTACACAATGAGGTTTGAGGGCTATCCCATGGAAAAGTGCTTCTTCACGTTTATGTATTGTCAAAAGAGATGCATCTTTTTTTCTGACCACCATTTGATCTCTTTTCCAGAATTCATGACATTTTTTGGATACAAAAATTAGCATTCCTCACCGATCAGTATACTGAAATTGCAAATCAAGCTGTGAAACATCTCGTGCCCTTTGCCATGACCTATACGAGTGAGACTGGCTTCTCAAGACACAGCGCTACAAAGAACAAGTATTGGAACAGATTAGATGCAGCACCAGAAATGCGTCTACAGTTATCAGACAAGGTTCTTTGGGTGAATCCGATATCTTTTATTAGACCAACTAAATAGTTGGCGAATAATGTTTAAGCAAGCTTTCAGGTTCAAAAACCCTTCGTCAGGCTAAGGAAGTTTCAGCAGTTGGTGTGTGCTCTTCCTGGGTGGAATGAAAAGTAAAGAACCTAGAGGCTGGGCTGGGCTGCATCCAAGACAGGCAGTCAGTGAACATATAGATTGAGGAGTCAATGGGTGAGAGACAGGTTGGGTGGGGGAGAGAAGGGGGATGAAGAGTGGAGAAGTACCTGGGAAGTCAGCTGTCAGGCAGGTTATAATGTGTCATAGTCCTCATATACCATACTACAAGTTTTTCTTGTAGTCCTGTTATACCATTGTAGTCCTGTTATACCAATACCATCAAATCATTTCCGACAGGATCACAAGAAAAACTACAGACCTTGATCCCCCCACTACCTAACCTGGGGAATTTTTACATGCTCCCTAAAATCCACAAACAAGGGAACCCCGGCAGACCTATCGTATCCAACCATGGGAGCCTAACTGAAGAAATATCAGGTTTCGTTGAATCAATCCTAAAACCGCTCATCACCCACAGAGCAAGTTTTGTCCAAGGCGCTACAGATTTTCTACAGAAACTTAAAAACATAGACCACCTTCCCAGCAACACCCTCCTAGCGACTATGGACGTTACCAGCCTATATACCAACATCCCACACCAGGTT